AAGCCTGAGTATCAGTCAGCCCCCTTCACGGGGACTTCTCAGCCATTTTCCCTGCCTGCTTCCCCAGAACCCTGCCTAAGGCCTGCTCAACTCTTTCGATTCTAATTTTCTACATGGGATTCCTCCAAGGGGCTGCTGCTGAGTCACCATCCAAGTCCTGACCTTTGCTTTTCCAGGCTCTCTTTTTGGGTCCTGGCCATTCCCAATGGGGCTTGTTCCCCAGCTTGGTCTCTTTTACCCTCTGTGATGCCTCCCAGAGGGGCTGATGGAGCTCCTCTCATCCTTATTTTCCAGGTACAGGGCTTTCTTTCCAGCTTGGACTATTCTCCACACAGGGAGGCTTCCTCACCACCCTCAGCAACCCTGCCTGCATTTTCACTGTCCTTACTCGGATTCTCATAAATGATCACTTTCATTTAGATCTGTGGTTGCTTGGTTAATAAAATCCCTTCTTGTGTAAACAGTATAAGCTAGATCACCCCTATGAGCTTCCTCATGTTATGGAAAAAGAACAAGTGTTCTTTGGTGGTTTTCCAGTGACATTCAGAGATCTAGGACACTTTTCCACTCAGCATCCTACTATATTGTCATTTCAGGGCCTCAGCAACTGTCTCCACCTGATTTGGAAGCAGCATAGTGTGGGAGTTAAGGGCATGGACTCTGGAGCCCCTCACCAGCTGTGGGGCTAGAGTAAGTAACAGCCTCTGCCTCAGTTTCCTCATCTGTGGAATGGGGGAATAGCAGTATTGACTTCATAGTTTGAAGATTAAATGAAACAATAAATATAAAGTACTTTGGAAAACTTAAGTAGTTTGCTTTCTAAGTGCTTGTCCAAAATATAAGTCCTAGAAGTATTATTATTTAAATTTGGAAAGAAAAAATTAAAGAAAAAAAGAAAACAGAAATCAAAGTTTTGATGGATGCTCTTCAGAAATAGACTGTACCAAATGTATGTATGCATATAAATTATTCAAATAAATCATAATTTTTCCTTTTAAATTATCTTAATGGAGTCTTGCCCTGACCCAGGTTAATTGGAAGAACTGGCCCAAAGGGTGTCTAGGGAAGGTGACTTAGACACTTTTGAAGGTTCCTCCAAATCAGCACATGCTTGTCAAGGAGATGGGGGGACCCAGGATACCTGTAGGAAAATGAGGACCACTCTCGTCTTTTCATTCACATTGCTCTCCAGGAAGCTCCCATGAGAAGAAGGCCCCCTTTCCTGAGTCTATCCACTGCCCCTGATACCTGCCACCCAGGCATGGTGATAATCCTGAACCCTACTCAGCCAGGCTGATAGGACAAGGGATTGTGCTCCAGCACGCCTGTCAGCGCAGCCCTCCTCCTCCTCTCTGGTGGCCTGCTCGCTCACTTCCTCCACCTGAATACCCTGCAGCCCCCTGCCGGGATGAGGCACAGAATTCATATGCACTGATGTCTACAGATGAATGGCTGCATGAGAGGCCACAGGTGGCACTAGAAATGTGAACCTGGCACCACCATTCAAGGCTACCAGCCCCTGGGCAAGACTGTCCTCTCCTTCTTCCCCACACCTGCTACTAATGCCTGGGTTCTACCATCAGAGGGTGACTGCATTTAATTAGCAAGCGTCCCTTACCATAAAATGCCTCAAAGTGGAGTGTTATGATTACCTTCCAACTGCAAAAAACGGAGACAAAGGATTGGAGTGACATGCAATTCTACTTATATGGCTATAATATTTTTTTTTTTTTTGTACTGGAGATTGAACTCGGGACCTTGCACTTGTGAGGCAGGCGCCAGAACCACTGAGCTAAATCCCCGGCCCCATATGGCTATAATCTTGAAGATGTTCACAACAGCATTTTTTTTTCAATGAGGAAAACTTCACAAGAATAATATTATAAACAAAACAACAAAACAAACAACAACAACCTTTAAACTAGCTAGGTGTGGTGGTGCATGCCTGTAATCCCAGCACTTGGGAGGCTGAGGCAGGAAGATTGCTGTGAGTTTGAAGCAAGCCTGGGCTACATAGTGAGTTCAAGGCCAGCCTGAACTATGTAGCAAGACCCCATCTCAAACAAAACAAAACAAACAACCCCCTCCAAACAAAATAAACAACAAAACAAAAGAAAACAAAACAGAAAAGACAGTTTGAGCTGGGCCTAGCAACTTAGCAACAATGAAACTCTGTCTTAAAATAAAAAATTTAAATCTGTCAAGAAGGAAATGGTTAAGTAATTATGATACATTTACTAAGTAAATGATTAGTTATGGATCCATTAAGTATTCATAATAGCTTCAAAACAGCTTATCTCATATAAAATAAAAATAAAACAAAATTAAAGGGCAAGATGTAAAGTTGTACATATGACTATGTGAAGAAAGTCATCAATGCTTAACAACCTATTCATAAAAAAACAGACAGGAAGAGTATTCATTAATACCTTTGGTTTTCTTAGGTGGTGGACTCTGAGTGATTTCTCCCTGCTTTCTTATTTCTAGTACTGCCCAATGTTTCTGACCTAAGTATTATTTTATAATGAAAGTAAGAATTACATCAGCCATAATAACCTTGAAAAAATCAACAAATGTAATGAGAAAAAACACAACTATTCCAAGGGGGCATAATATGCTGAGGGGGTGTAAAGGGGCAGTTGATAGTGAGTTCTTAATTTTTCCCCAGAAGCACTGTGGAAGCATTAGGAGAGCCACATGTTGCTGGTGATGCCTCAGTATAGCAGTTTCAGAATCTCTCCCCTACTAAACCACATCCTGTCCCTGAAATACTGGGAAACTTGGATGAGCACTCCAGAAATTAGGTCTGTTTACAAGAGTTTAGTGCTGTGCTTTATCTTGAATTGATTCTAATGTTTGAAGCAAATGTGTAAAGCAATGTCTGCACATTTAGGAAAATTGTTGTGGAGCTATGGGATTTCTTCAGTACACATAATAGTTGCCCACGGAGCTGCCAGGTCCAATTAAGAGTCTAAGGCTTACATTGTGCTTTATCTTTGTTTGTTGGAGCTGAGGCAGCTGCTTCTGCCTGCAACTGAAGGAATTATTTGGTTTAGTTTTTTTCCCATGGTGCTTAAAGGAGCACGGTGGTCTGGTGGTGTTGCAGGTGTTGTGAACTGCACAGTAATTAATGGCGAGAAGAATGCAGGAGTGAGGATCAGGAAGCCTTGGTGTGGGTACAGGGTTTCTATTGTGTGGCACTGGGAAAATCCCTTCAGCTCTCCTTATCTGAATTTCTTCATTCTTCAGATGATGAAACTGCACTTCAGGCCCCTTCCAGCATTAGTATTCCATGAGTGGAGTAGTTCCTATATTTACTCTCCAGTGCACAGCCCTATTTAATTTTCTTGAGAATTAATCATTGACATGCTGTCTCATTATGTGTTATCTGTTGCTCACCTCCCACATCAGAATGTAGAGCAGAAGCAGGCTCTGCCTTGCTCTTGTCTTGTCTCCCGAGGCTAGAGTGATGCCTGGCACGCACCAGGTGATCAATAAGTACCTCTAAGCGCACGTGGAAATCTGTTCCATGAATTACTGCCTGACTCGTCACAGAGCAGTCTGGCTACGTGGCTGAATGGTCTCTCCCTGGCCACCCACCCACTCCTATCAGCTTCTTCCAGGTCCCACAGTTAAAGTGTTCTGACCCTCCTTTGAAAAAAATGACCTTACTTTCTATTTCTTGGCCATATCTCTGATAACCCCTAAAACTGAGAAAAATGAGAAAAGAAGTGAGGAGGAGATATAAATTCCCAATAACAAAGAGAATGGAAGATAACAGTGGAAAAGAAAAGTCAACTTTTTTCACTGACAGAAAGCAAACGCAAAACTAGGATCTGAGTTGGTAGAATGGGGAAGATAAAATGTAAGTTCCTGCCAGTTAGTTCCCCACAGCCTCTGACAGGATGAAGAACTGGAGGCACCAGTCAGTGCAGGGCTGGGGAAGGGGCTGTGTATCAGTGGGACTAAAATGAGAAGATGAGGTGAGAGTCTGTGAAGACCCTGGATCCCTCCTTTATCCTATGTACCTGTCCTGCAAAGCAGAATTCAATAGAGGCCTACATACAGAATGGCAAGGTGGTGCCACACTTTCGCCTCTTGGGTCCCAGAATACTAGCAGCCAAATGCAAACATTTTAGGCAGATTTGATGGTTATTCATTGGAGAAGCCAAAAGATGTACAGATACTCAAATACTGACATTTGGAGAGCCTCCCGCCCAAGCCCTCCTCAGCCCTTCGAGATCAAACTGTAGGGAGACTTTCCAGTCAATAAATTGCTTCCCTCTCTCAGAATATCCAGGCAACCATTGTGAGCCTCATTCATACATGTGACTGTTCAGCTACAGATCGCTAGACTTTCCAGAACTGCCTTCTCAATTGAAACCAAAACAGGTAAACAAGAAAGACTGGGAACTCAAAGGAAGCTAAATGCAAGTAGGAAAAAACCCTTTCAACTATACAGTAATATCCTCAGAAATTTAAGACAAGATACTGAATCCATGAAAAAAGAACAAGCTGCTAAAGAAAGGGAAAAAATACAGAATGAGAAAGAGCTCTTAGAAATTAAGAATATTATGGTTTAAATGAAACATTTCATAGGTTGGAAGATAATGTCAAATAAACTTTTGAGAAGGTAGAACAAGAACACTGAAGGAATAATAAGAGAAAACAAGAAAATTACAGAATCAATTTAACAAGTTCTTGACAGAAAAGGAATAAATTGTAAAGAAGAATTCTCAGAATTGAAGGGCAAGAATTGCTAAATTGATATGGTGCTCCATGTAGCTGGTGTAATGAATTTTTTTAAAAGGTCCACTCTAAAGTACAATATCAGGACATATTTCAATTAAAAAAGACATTCTAAAAGTTTTAGAGAAAAGGAAAACAATCAGGTAAAATCCAACAAATTAAGAGTCACAATAACATCATTTTAACAGCAACATTAGAACATAAAGAAAATCGAACAATTCCTTCAAAATTCTGAGAATTATTTCTCACCTAGGATTCTATATTCAGACAAACCTCCAGTTGAGAGTGAGGATAAACTAAAGACATCTGCAGACCTTCAAAGTTTCAAAAGTCTGCCTCAATAAGCACTCAGTAAGTATTGCCTGTTAGGATTCATATTTGCTAAGTTTTGCTTCTTTTATTCTCTTTCTTTTTTGTCTTAATGTGATATGTCTTTGTTAGATAAAAATTAAAATTGATCCTTTCATTCCTTTAAAAAAATAATTTAGTAGATCTGAGAAATGACTCAAAGTTTTCGACTTTAGCAAAACATTCACCTGACCTTGCATGACAGGAAATATGAGGTGAGATGATGGTAACTTAAGGCAGATTCATGGCTCAGTAGAGGTTCATATAACCCAATTTCCTTATTTTACAGATGAGGAAATGAAACCTCCAAAGAGGAAGGGACTTATCTAAGGAATATAGTGTCTGGAAGACAGTACACAGTGACTATTTTGTTAAATGAATGAGTTAGTAAATTAGTGAATCAGATTATCCAACCCTCCTAACTTACAAGTGGGGAGACCAAGGATCCTAAGATAGCTGACAGCATAGCCATAACCAGACTTTCAAATTCTGGGCTCAGGACATTTTTCTGGAAACCTTGCTAAGTTGATGATTATACCAACTGAGGAGCATGTCATGAGGTTCAAGGCCCATGCCTGCACCTGGGTATTGGCACGTGGGTTGACTGGCATTCCATGGTGAGAGGGTGAGCACTCTGGACTCTGGTGTATGCACTGGTGTCATTGTGGAAAGAGGACTTTCAAAGTCATGCTTGACATGGCTGCAGAGGACACAAAGCTGGGAGCGGCAGCTAAGATAATGGATCAGAGAAACCTAGAGGCTACCCTGAGCCTCCATGTTTCTAATCTACCCTCCTATCTAGCTCTCTGCTTTATGAAACTACCCCTTCTGGTGCAGAACTATGGTTTCAAGAACATTTTTTTTTGGTATTTTTAAATTCTATTCACCATTTGTATGCCTTCTAGGGTAATGCAGTAGAAATCCTGTTTTCTTCCATAGAGCTTCATGCATATTAGAGCTAGAAAAGGAATCCCTGATGTCTTCTCTTTTCCAAGATGTTCTTTTAAATGGTTCTCAAATGTGTGGTTTCGGCTTTCATCATATTCTTCTCTTCTGGCAAACTTGCCACTATCCCTTCCAATACAAGAACCCAGAATTGGAACCCAGTCCTTTTGCTGTGGTCTGCCTAGAACAAACCCACTGGGCACTCACCTTCCCTGTCTAGACACTAACTTCTATCAAAGTGGCCCAGAGGCCTTTTTGTCACTAAACACTCCACTAAACATCCCACTCTAATTCATAGGGGCTTCTGCATCCAGCTCCTCCCCTTTCTGTCCTTGGCCTTCTAAGAATTTTAACTCAGGAAGTCTTCTATTTATCATTGTTCAACTAAATCTTCTAGCTAAGGTGTAGAGTTCTCTCCTCTCTCACAGTGGTAATTCCTTCCAGCTTTTTGTCATCTGCAAATTGGAAGCACATGTTTCCACATGTTCGTCCAGGAGAGAGACAGAAATGGAGAACAAGGTAGGAACAAGCACAGAGCTCAGGGACTCTGAAGAGCAGGCTTCTAACCAGTGCATTCAGATCCACCCCACAACTAGATAGATGGATCTGTGCCACTCAGGGGCATAATTGATCTCAAGGGTAAAAGTTACAGGGTTTCAGATTTGGCCCAATTTAATGTTTCTTCATTTGTTCATTCATTAAGGATATATTAAAAGCTGGCTAGAGGTCTCCATGAAGACAGGAGGGAAATACAAACCGATGCAAGCCTGTCTGCTCTCATATCTGTACTCCCTTCCTACCCAGGCTTCAGAGAACACCTGGACTGAACACCGACTTCAGTATGGGTGAGAAGGTAGAGCCTTCTTTCCCTCCAGGAAAAGAATAAGCAGGACCAGCAATTATTACTCCATAGCTCTCCTTCTGTCTTCATCTCATTGCCCCTGGGCAGCCCACACAAACTATCAATAGAGACCAGGCGGGAAGATCTGCAGCAGGCAGTGACCTCTGGGATCTACAAGGATGACCCTTAGTCCATGGAGGTAGCTTTCCTGCTGAGGAAGATGCCTCTCCCACTTGTTTCTTTTTTGTTTTTCTTAAATTCTTTTATTGGTACATTTTAGGTATACAATACATTTATTTCCCATTGGGAACATGATGCATCTTGGTTCTTATTTTTTCCCCATTCCTAGCCCTCCCTTCACCCCCTCCACCCTTCCCTATTTACCCTATTTACAAAGACTTTGTTTCCATTTTTTCCATTTCTCATCATTTTTCCTTTCCCTTCTTTCCTTTCCCCTACCCCTCCCACTTCCCCTACCCCTTTGGACCTTTTCTTCCTATTTTGCATTATTAATTATTCATTTTAAACATTGGTACATTTTAGGTATACAATATAATGACATTCATCATTGGAAATTTGCACCTTTATGTAATCTCTCTTGGTTCTTATTTTTACCCCCTTCCCCTGCCCTCCCTTCAACCCCTCCATCCCTCCTTATTTACAAAGACTTTGTTTACATTTTTCATTTTCTCATATTAATTCCATTCCCTTCTTTCCTTTCCTCTACCCCTCCCACTTCCCCTTCCCCTTTACCCCTTTTCTTCCTCTTTCACATTATCCATTATACCTTTTAGTCTTTATTTACACTTTCAGTTTCTCACACTAGAGAAGCTATTTGGTATTTACACATGTGTGTCCTATTTATTTCACTTACGAGTATCGCCTCAATGTGCATCCATTTAGCTATGTCTCTAATTTGTCATTCTTTATGGCTGAGTAGTACTCCATTTTATAAAAAAGAACACATTTTCTTTATCCAGTCTCCAGTTCATGGGCATTTGGACTGTTTCCAAGTTTTAGCTATCACAAACTGTGCTGCTATGAACATGGGTGCACATATATCACTGTGGTATGATTCTTTTAATTCTTTGGGGAAGATCCCCAGCAGTGGAATACTGGGGTCAAATGAGACTTCCAGTCCTAGTTCTTTGAGGTATCTCCATACTGATTTCCACAGTGGTTGCACCAGTCTATACTCCCACCAGCAGTGGAGCAGGGTTCCTCTTTCCCCACATCCCCGCCAGCATTTGTTATTGGTTGATTTCATGATAGCAGCCATTCTTTCTGAAGTGAGGTTCTCCCACTTGTTTTGAGCTTGATCTAAGCTGTCTGAGCTGCTATTCTGTTTGCTTAGGCAGGAAGGCATTTTCCTGCAGCAAGCCCATGGGTTGGGAAAGAGGGAAGGGTCCATGGGAATGGCTCTGAAAATCCCAGGTGACTTGTGGAAGTAAGAGGAGCGAGGCTGGGAGAAACCTGAGGTGAAAGGTGAGAGGTTGTGGGCTTCTCTGAACACTTCCAAGCCTTGCTGCACATTGTGCACACTGTGGATTATATAACACTAGAACGTTGAGCTTCAGGGGAAACCAAGCCAAAGACCAGAGACAAAGTGCAAAATGTTATCCAACCTCAATTCTTCAGATGTGGGTTACCATTTCCCATTTTGTGGGTCACTGGGCCCAGAGCCAGACTGCTTAGGATTGAACCTGTCTCCATCATTACTATCTGTATAATACTGAGCAAGTTAATGAGTCTTTGACTCATTTTCTTTATTTGTAAAATAGGGTCATATTATACTTACCAGTCAGAGTTATTGCAAGGACTACATGAGTTAACACAAGTAAACCCTGACATACATTACTTGCTCGATAAGAGTTAACAAGTGTTTACGCAGTCATCATAACTTGGCGTGTACCTGGGATGTGGCCTTCTGCACTGATCCTTTTGCCCAGGGAGTAGATCATTCTCAAAGCACATTTAATGACACATTAGGAGGGAAAGCAGTAGACTGGACAAAAAAGTTAAAAGCAACTATATATGTTACCACTCCCAGGTTTAGGTATGATTTATGCTATAATTTCCATTTGCAGGGCCATGGATGTGATGTCCTTTTCCTCTACCAGGCCTCCTAGAGAAGTAACAGGCTTCAATTAGACTGGGGGGATTTTGGGAACTGGTTGCCAAGTCAGGGTAGAGAACATGTTCACACTGCAATGTGGGCGGAGGGTAAGGTATCTAGTCTCACACAAATATCCCTGGAAAGAGACTAAGCTCCCCTGGGCTGACCAGGGGATACCAGTCAGTCTGGCTGTCCCTGGGTAATCTGAGCACTGCCAGGGCCAGAGCAAGAAGAGGCACAGACATGGGGCAGCAGTCAGTCCAGGGAAAAGGCTACCATGGGAAGTGAGTAGGTGCAGAAAATCACATTAAGACTCACCCAGTAAGTGGATTAACCTGAACAAGTAAGGAGCATGGGGTCCCAAGTAAAGGCTATCTTCACATGAAGGTAGGATCAGCATGAGTCCTAACAATAATCTACCAAGGGCAAAATCTGACATTTAGGAAAAATACTATGAGGCACTGGGACCCTTGAGATGCTGCTGCCTGTACATAAGGAAATTGAGGCCCAGAGAGGAGAAATGCCTTGCTGAGGATCATACAATGGCCTGCTGCAGAGGCAAGTCCTCCAGTCTGGAGAATCCAGACCCCTCATTTATATGCTTACTCCCTCTTTCATCAGCCAGTTATGGTGCTGGGCACAGGGCACAGATGTTGACAGTGGTAATGTGCTACCCTATTGAGAACTGCAGCCCACAAGTGTGCTGAGTGTGGCAACAGGAGAGGAGTGGGGTGCTGGCCCAGGGAGGAGCAATAGGGTCTCTTGGAAAGTGATGGATCCTTTCTAATGTTGTCTCACCTAGTACTGTAAGTGATCTGGCCATTGCATTTCCTCAGAGCTGTTTACATTATCAGCTTCTGAGTCCTCCCCGACCTGTGACAGGCAATGCCATCTTCATTACTACTTAGCTGCAAGCCAGTGGGACCCTTAAACACCCATCCTTTTCTTGTACCAGCAGCTGGCCTGCTCAGCCCCACTCCCATGAGGCCATGACTAACTATGTGGGCTCTCTGGGATCCAGAACAGGTGCCAGTGGCCAGGAGAAGAGGTAGCAGCATCTCAAGTGTCCCAGAGCCTGCCTGGGCACCTCTGTAATGACAT